TTTCTTAACTTTTATGAAATAAATAACAAAATAAGGGCTTCTTCCAGATTTATATCATGCTCTAAATTAAGGTAATTTCTGGTTAAACTATTTAATCTTCTCTCGACAGCCTTTTTGATTATTTTTATCGCATCCTCCTTTTTGATATCCGGAACTAATTTGGTCGGTCATCAATTTTTTATTTTAGTGGTTAATTTGGGAATATTTAGTACCGAACTGATGGCAATCGGTTCAATTTTTACTTCCTTTAATTGTAATTTATTCTCTCCTCAATCAGCGGTCAGCAGAATAATCAATAATCCATCTTGACCTAAATTGTTCCTTTGTTCGATTAATATCTCATCCAAACTAATTAAGGATTTTTTTGCTTTTAAAGTCGAAACTTTTTGGGTTGGAAAAGCAAGTTCACAACCATTATTAAGGGTTAAATACTTACCAGGCAAATGAGCGAGAAAATTTTTATTCTTATAACTATTTTGTAAAGTAATTATTCCAAGCGGTTGTAATAATTGGAGCAATAATTTAAAATCATAAAAACTAACCCCTAGGCTTAAATATTCTTTTTTGCTTAAATTAATTACTTCTTCACTTTGCGTATAAAGATAATCAATGGTGCGGGCCAGTCTCATTTCTCCACCGATGACCGGAGGAATACCCACTATAAACTGAAAAGTAGCCTTTTTTTCGGGGGAAAAATTAACTAAACAATGTTGGGTTTCTTTTTCAATTTTTTCGGGGTTGCCAACCAGTAAGTAAATTTCCCCATTTCCTTGCGGTCTTTTTGCTGGCGAGACAAAATTTTTACTTAAATTCTCTTCCTTTTCAATTACTTGTTGCAGCGGACTTTTAGTGAGAAATTGACTAATTAACAGAGCGAATTTTTTATTTAAAATCCGGACTTTTTTGCCTCAACTTTGGGCTAATTCTAATAATTCAAAAATATGTAATCAGTCAAAATCGTAGAAAATGAAAAATAATGGTTTATCCTGACTAGGAAATTTTTTGGTCGCAAAAAAAAGCGAATTCTTGTTTTGTCAATGCAGACCCCAATAACTAGTAATTAAATAGGCATTTTTCCTTTTTCGAGCACAAAATTGTTGAAATTCCGGTCAGAAATTAGGGGGAAAAAGTATTTTATTATTCAGTAGACTACTAAAAATAAACCCCTCTAAAAAATAGAAACTGGATTGAGAATGATGGACCGCCAACCCTAAATTGCCTAATAAATAACTATTCAGCGGAATAAACGATAAAACAAAGTCGCCAATTTTCCATTCTCGGTTCTTTTCGGCCACAATTATTTTATTCCTTAATTGGGGAAAAAGATACGGGAAAATTAATTTGCTTGGATGACTAGTATAAATGGGGATATGAGAACCAATTTCCCGGCAGATATCAGCCAATAAGCCTACATTTTGCCAGTTAGTATTAGTTACCATAATGGCTTTAATCTTGTTTTTATTTTCTTTTAAGTAATCGCGACCAATTTGTTGTTCTTGGAAACCAACTAATGAATAATCTTTACCAGTAGCGAGGAGGAGAATGTGATTTTCTGACTCCAAGAGGTAAAAATTGCCTTCATTTTCTCAACGGCCACGAAAAAGTAAAAAGCGAACTGTCATAATTATTCTTTCTGAGACTTATAGACATAAAGAGCCAGTAAGAATAAACCAGCAATCCATAA